TTCCCTGGTATATTGAGTGACCTTTCAGTATATTCTCAGGTTTTATTTATTTCAGGAGAGAGTTTTCTTGAATTACAGTTTTTAAAATTTTGCTCTCTTGTATTGCTTTGTTTCCTTCTTGGGGGCTCTTACTGTACATATGTTAGATCTTCTCTGCCTTCTCTTGAAGTTTTTGTTAGCTCTTTTTCCATCATTTTGGAGTTTTCACATCTTCTATTTATTTAAAGATATTTCCCATTTTGTTTATTCATTCTTGTGTTACTTCTAGTTTACTCTTTATTTCCAAAATGAATTTTAATTTTATTTCTAACTTTTTATGGATCTTTAAAAATGGGTTTTTACTAATCACCTAATTTGTGAGCTTTAATAATTCTAATCATACTTTCTATGATTTTCTTTTTTTCATTTTTTTCTTGTAGTAACTCCAAATGGAAATTGACTGTGGTCTTTTTATATATAGTGCATTTTTCATTGAAACGAGTTTTCATGGTCTTTTAGGAGAGAGATGTGGGCCAGGGTAGCATTTTTAATTTCATGGTTCTTAGGATGCCATTTCTGCTATTTTCACAGTGATGGAGAGTAGGTTCAGACTCCTGTGCTCTCTTGCCCTCTTTTTATCTGGACTTTCTCTTCTCTTCTTCCTGTTATCCTTGCCTTGCTTAATTAGGATGCAGCCCCAGTAGTTTCTCCTCAGTGCTGGCTTTGTCCTGTGACAGGGCTTCAGTTTTAAGAATTCCTGGGACTCAGACCTATAGAACATTCTAGCACCATCATACCTGTGTGCCCTTTTAGTCTTATCCATCCATCAGAGCCTGAAAAGTCAGCTCCCAGCTTCTGTTGCTGTTCCTGAGCTTTCCAATGTGACCTAATGGCAATTTGGTTTCCCTTTGCTTTTCCCCTGCAGATTTCAGAGTTTCTTAGAGCATGTGGGCTTTGTAGCGCTTGGTAACTTGTCCTGATCAGCTTGTATTTGGGGGTTGGTGTAGATATCTAGTTGCTGAATATTGTTGTATGTGTTGTCCCTTTTTTGTTTTGCTATAATACTTGCTCTGTTTCCATAGGGAGATTCATAAACTATGCCCACCATCATCTTTCAGGAATTCCTCCAGTTTTTTCTCAAGAAAAAAATTGTTAGATAATTATATAATTGATAAATTTATTAGATTATTGATGCATATAACATCAGTTAGAAAAGGTTGGGCATATCTGGATTCAAATCCCACTTCTGCCACTTATCAGTTTTCTTTTCACATATTAGTTCATTTCTCTGAGGTTTTTCTCATCTATAAGGTGGAAATACTGCTACAACTACCACTACCAAGTACTACCTCAAAGAGTAATTTCAATGAAATTAAGTTGGATGTTTGACCAGAGGTTAATAAATTCACATTTATAATCTTCTGATTTGATTGCATCCTAAAGCACAGAAGTGTAATAAGGTGACAGTGTAGAAAGATAATTTCTTTTGCATTACTTAAAAACCTTTATTGTAGAATTTTAGAAAAAATGGCAATTAAATATTTTCAAAATAATTTTATTGATACATCAGAATTAGGAAGTGTGTCCTAACTATCAGAAATTATATTTAGATTTGACATTGAGAACAAGCCCACCAATGTTGCTGATACCACGTCATCTAGCAATCAGGAGAGGCAACATGTTGTGGACAAAGATGCTTTGCCCTTAAAATTGGGAAGAACCTGACTTAGGCCCTTCCTTCATCATTTCCTAGAAGCTTAGTTTGGTTTGTTATACCCTCAGTGAAAATTTTCCTTCCATAGCTGCAAGTTTGCATGTAATCATATTCAATAAATGTTAATTGAGCATGTACTCACTGCTAGAAACTGGCTTAGGCACTGGACATATAACACTGAGCTAGACAGACAGAGTCCCTGCCCTCCTGGAACTTACAGTTCAAGGTCAAAGGCAAACAGATAAGCTAATACTGCATAGAGTATTATACACAGAGAAGAGGGACTTTCCTGGTGGCACAGTAGTTGAGAGTCCGCCTGCCAATGCAGGGGACGCGGGTTTGGGCCCTGGTCCGGGAAGATCCAGCATGCCGCGGAGCAGCTAGGCCTGTGCGCCACAGCTACTGAGCCTGCGCTCTAGAGCCCGCGAGCCACAGCTACTGAGCCTGTGTGCTGCAACTACTGAAGCCCACGTGCCTAGGGCCCATGCTTCTGTATGGGAGAAGCCACCACAGTGAGAGGCCCGGGCACCCCAGCAAAGAGTGGCCCCTGCTTGCCGCAACTAGAGAAAGCCCACACGCAGCAACTGAGACCCCAAAATAAATAATAAATAAAATAAATAAATTAAAAAATAAAAAAATAAACAGAGAAGAACCAGGTATTATAGGAGGAGCGGCTTAACTCAGACTTGAGGTTCAGGAAAGGCTTCCCGAAGAAAATGGCACATTAGCTAGTAGCTGAGGATGTGTAGGAATCCCCAAGCCAATAGGAAAGCAGACAAAAGGGCATGTGCAAAGGCATGGAGACACGCAGGCAGTACATCTGAGGACGTAAAACGAAGGACTAATGCATAAACAGTGCTTCCAGTACCGGTTGAAGTTCAGACTCACCAGGAGAGTTTTTAAAGAATCAGATTTTTTTTTTGTATAGGCCCCAGCCCAGACTTGCTGAACTACATTCTCAGAGAACATTTCAAGATTCTGGCTGTTAGCTCCTCTGGGGAGCTACTGGCTTAGGGTGTGTGTGGGGCTGGGGAAGGGGGCTCAAGTTAGGGAGGGCGAGGCAGGGAACCCAGGGGTGCACTGGGAAGGGCTGTAAAGCATGTGCGGAGTTGGGATTTTATCCTAAGGGTGGGGGGGCTGTGGAAGGACTGGGGAGGTATGGGGATGAGGAGATCAGATTCATGATTTATAAGGATCACGGAGTTTACTAAGGCATGGCCCCTGCCGTCATGAGTGATACAATCTAGTTTATGAGGTTCAACACCTTTGAACCTCAGTTTTTAAAATCAAAAATGGAAAAACAGTATCTACTTTGCATGGTTATTTGGAGGTTTAACTGAGATAATTTATGCACAAAGTGCCTGACATATAATTGGTACTCAAAAGATGTGAATTTCTATTGTTTGAGAAAACCGTGGAGCCGGATAATTGGTGGACATCACGCAGCCGCTGTCCAACACCAGGGGAGGTGGGGTTTCTGTTTCGCCGTCTGTCTCCAGGTTCCTCTGACAAATTCCTTGTCTCTGCCCACACGGCCGTACCAGGACAGAAAGCCCGCTTTTTCTCACTTACTACCTCAGTTACCGTCTTTATGCTGATGACTTCCAAGTCTCTACCTCTAGCCTGGTGTTCACTCCTGAGCCCCAGAGCCGCAAAGCCAACTGACTCCTTAAGTGGAACCCTCCACTTAAACGTCTTGTGGGTACTTCTGTTACCTAACACCGCCCTTTCCCACACCAAGAAAACAAAACCAAACCCCACTTTCCAACATTATCAACACCACTAGGGCAAGTCAGAAGCATGGGAATTGAGTCCCTCGTCCTTATCTTCTCCAGTTGACCCTCACCAGTCCACACCCTTCTCTCCAGGCCTGACCATCACCTCCTCCAAACTACCACCACCTGGTACCTGAACTTGTGAAACAGCCTGAGTTCCCAACACCATTCTTTGCCCCAACCCTGCAATCTTGAGGGACCTCCCATGAGGCAAAATGGAGAAAATCGCCTCTCCTGCTTCCCCACACACAGTTAATACGCCTCTTCAGCGGCTTCTGAATGCCACCGGAGCGAGTCTTACGGTCTCCCATTCTCCCTCTCCTATTCTATGCTCTAACCATCCTGACCTAGAAAAAATTACCTTGTCTCCCACTCTCGGTTCCTCACCCAGAATCCCCTTCACACTGGATAACCCCTCACCCCTGAGGTCTCAGCTGGCAAACGTCATGGTGGAGGGACACTCCTTGAATCTTTACACCAGCCAAGAGTCCCTTGTCACACGTATTTGTAGTGTCTTTCCCTCTTCCCCATTAACGCTGCTCGGTCTACTTGTAGCTTCCTAGTGCCCGTCTTCCCCACTAGATTGTAGCAACATGGTGGCTAAAGAGTATTCACAGTCCATGTTGTTCACGGATTCTATTTGGGGAGTCACCTACTTGCTCATATATTTTTTTTAACACCCAAATCAGCACTCAGGGCACTTTCTCAGTCATTCTTGGACATGCACAGAAAAGTAAAATTTTAAGTTGCCCGACACACTCAGCGGAGGTTGAGCAAGCTGATGCTCTTCCCTCTTGTCTCAGCCGTTGGACCATCAATAAGCCTCCGTTGTGCAGTCTGCTTAGTGCCACGTTTTCCACATTTTTGTGTTTTTTGTTGGTTTCACTGTTGAAAATGGCCCCCATGCATAGTACTGAAGTGCAGTCTAGTGTTCCTAAGTGCAAGAAAGCTGTGATGTGCCTTATGGAGAAAATACATGTGCTAGATAAGCTTCATTCAGGCATGGGTTATAGTGTATTGTCTATGGGTTCAATGTTAATGAATTAACGTATATGAAGTGAGATGTCTTTAAACAGAAGCACACATGAAACAAGGTTATATTTTGATCAGTTCGTGACAATGTGACCAGAGGCTTGCAGGAAGCTAGCCCTGTATCTCCCCTAGTAGCAGTGGTTCAGTATTAACTAATTCTGTTTCTGTGATGATTTAATAGAACATAACTACTGCAATAATAAGACTCAATGTGTTTTGTTAACTTCTGTATCCCCAGTAATCACAGTGACTCTCACGTAATAGTTGTTCAATACACATTTGTGGAAACGGAACTGTCTCTGTGTATGTGTTATACACATGCATACATGTATGTATGTATGTGTATAACATAACATGTAAATATTTATATAACATATAAATAAACTGAATTTTCCACGCCAAAGGTATACCTCACAGCCTTATCATTACTTTGTGCTTTTTAAAAAAATGCTAAACATAGGTTTATTTTTGATATCATCTTTATTTTTATTGTTATCTAGGATGCTGGAGAGATGGTTCGTTCCTTTGTTGGTGGTTTGGAACTTGTTGTCAATTTACTGAAGTCAGATAATAAAGAAGTTTTGGCGAGTGTATGTGCTGCTATTACCAATATAGCAAAAGATCAAGAAAATTTAGCTGTTATCACAGATCATGGAGTTGTCCCTTTATTGTCCAAACTAGCAAATACAGTAAGTAATGTATCTTTTTATTTCAAAATGTATATCGTCATAAGATATCACCATGTAGTAGCAAAAACAATGAGCTTAAAATCCAGAGACCTGGATTCAAGTTTAATATCTATCCCTTGTGAGGTATGAGATTTTAGTGGATTCATTTTAGTTTCTCTGAGACTAATAAATGTGAAAGTATATTTCAAACTGAAATCATCACCATCGTCGTTATTACGAGCCTTAAGATAATTGTTCATGCCAACTTTAGAAGTTAAATGCTCCTCTCCCAGCTTAGCAAGCTTGGGTCGATGGCATTCTTGAGCTAGAAGATTTTGGCAATTGCTGTATTGTTTACCCAGAGTTGTGCCAGATAGAACAAGCAGCCTTGAGAGATAATGACTTCACCATGACCAGAGGTATTTGAGCATAGCTTGAACTTGGCAGAAGAGTCGTGGAGCAGAAATTCAATGATTGGAAGCCTGCTTGGTCTAGAAGACTTTTGGGCCAGTCTAATACTAAATTCCTGAGAATATCTGCCAGTTTCAGTTCAGGACACCAAGTTGTGACCTGAATCAAGAGAACAGTACAATTAATAGGCAGAGAATTATAGTGTTACTCAGTTGTATTATATCTATATGAGGTAATTACACCCAGAAAGAAGTATGTGGTCTGCATAAACAATACAGAAAGGAAAATGGCAGACTCAAAACCTGTCCTCATTTGCTGCATTGTCTTCTCCCTCTTGGGAACCAAGGTGTATTCCTGATGTGGAGTATTCCTAAGGTGAAGACGTAGAATGGATCCCTTCCCCCAGTTACCTGGCAGAGGCTCCCTTAAGAGTGTCCAGTATTCCTTAGTTGTTTTTATTACTTGGCCACTCGCTGATCTGTAGCTCTGTGTTGTGAGGAGACTTACTCAAAAGGAAATTGAGCCTGGAGCAAATAACTAATGCCAGACACCTGATCGCCTTTACCTGCATGCACTCCACTCAGTTCATAAAAAGAAAATGCAGGATTGAACCTTGATGCATTGGTGACCCACCAGAATACTAGTTCCCATCAAGACACCACCTGAGCAGCCAGTGGGTAATAAACACCTAGAGCATAAGTATCACAGGGTCATTATGATGCACATGCCATAATCCGTTCTCCTTGTGCAGAATGATGATACACTGAGACGTCATCTAGCAGAAGCCATTTCACGTTGCTGTATGTGGGGCAGAAACAGAGTGGCCTTTGGCGAGCACAAGGTAGTGGCTCCATTAGTGCGGTACCTGAAATCAAATGACACCAACGTGCACAGAGCGACAGCCCAAGCCTTGTACCAGCTTTCAGAAGATGCCGATAACTGCATCACCATGCACGAGAACGGCGCAGTGAAGGTACTGTTGACCAACTTTGTGGTTTAGTTCAAGTTATGTCAATGTGGGTTGGAAAGAAACTTAAGTGATGTTAAGGTTTTACTGAAAGGGGTATTTGAACACACAAAACTGCCCACTTGTTGCATCATGGCTGCAAATGAACCGTGTGTTATCATTATCATGATTTGTGCTGCAGAAAAGTTGCGTGGAGACAGAATTTTTCTAAATTGAAAACTATAAAATGTACTCAGTTAAATAAGTACAAGTTCCATAATCTGAATTGGATTAAAGAAAATGTATAGTGCATGAATAATCAGTGGTATTCATAATTCTGTTTAATATTTTATTTACTTAGCACTTAAATAATAAAATACAGGCACCAAATGCACAGCAAAGGAGCTGACAAACAGCACCTAGACAGTCTTGCCAGTCTAAACCACAAGCAAAGAACCAATTCAAAGACATGTTTTTTAAAAAAAAAAACAACAACAAAAAACTGTGCATCAAATTTTCTTTGCCTTTAACTAATATCCAGGTGGGAAAGTTTCTGCATGTAGACTTTGACATATCTATACATTGGAAACCACCTAGAGCTTATTCTGAGTGGAATATTTTGGTGACAACAGATAGAAAAATACTTAAGAGTACATGAACAGCTTACAAGTATTAGGAAGAATTGATTTCAAATTCTAGCTCTCTTCTATGGCTTGTTTCCTTGTACAATGTAATTTTACTCTCTTACCTCAGTTTGGAGCCTCTGACAGCCAGCTGCATTTACGTTTTGAAATGTATACCCAAAGTTAGCTTGATCTTTTAGACAAAAGCTAATAAAATCGTAAGTTAATCATATCTTGTCAAACTTATATATGCTGAATATGAAACATCTTTGGAGGAATTACTCTTAGAATGCCAGTTGGTAATTTTTTGAGGCCATTATTTTAATCTATCCTTTAAACCTATTATAGCTGAAGAATACGATGTTAATTTTTCTGAAATTAAACCCAGTTTACATTTAAATGTGTCAACTTTTCCATTATAAATCCATTTTTACAGCACATAGGTTAGGCCATATTAATTTTTTCAAAAAACTGGCATAAAAAGCACCTTTTAAACTAAGCACTAATTTTTTAAAGTTAATTATAAAAAATATACTGGAATGTTTACTTCAAGTTACTAAAGAATGGTAAAAATGTCATCACTTCTGTGTGATTATGTTCACACTTCAAAAAAGAAGATTTCCTACTTTAAAATTATACATATTCTGTTATTGGACAAGGACAGTCTAATATGCACAACCTACAGACTTTTAAAGAAATGAAGCTATGAATTTAAGTAGCCTGATAAAGTGTCTGACGTAACATGCTTAGACAGTTGTCGGCCTAAGAGCAGAATTTCTAGACTACTCAGAAAGTTTTCAAATTTAATAGGTTTACGTGTTACCATTCAATTGACATATATGCCAGGTATATATGCAACTTTCAATTATTTCTCCTAATACAAGTCAGTAGGTAATCCAAAATCATTTATGAATTGTATTCTGCTATGAAAAATGTTGAAACTGTGTTCACCCACCCACACAGCTTATATAAATCAAAAAATAAAGCAATAAAAACGATGAGGGTGAGGGGACAGGATAGAGAAAAACAGAGAAAGTTGGGTTTGTTGCCCTTGAGACCCTTTCCCGGGTCATCTAAGGGTATGTTGAGGGCCTCTCTGTCTTGCCCATCGGCATCCCTGACTACCTGCTATTTCTACTGGAGGATAAGTGTAAAGAACTGATTCTTGTCAGTTTACTGTAGGCTACTCTGTCACAAACAGAGGCTGGCCTCATGGTGGGCTCTCCCTCAGGCGGCTGTCGGGGAAGCATAAGGGCCTGTGTCCCTTCTTTGGTTTTGAGGTAAAAAATGTGGATGTAGTGTAGTGGGTGTTGGTAGAATCCAGTGGGGTTTGGTAGTTGCTTGGATATGGGGAATAAAGGAAAGTGTTGAGTCAAAAATTACTCCAGACTTCAGGCTAGCTGAAGAGGAAGATTCCATTAGCCAAGACAATGCAAGAAAATATGTGGCGCATCAGGGTGGTTAAGGTCCCTGCAGTGAATTGTCACGTTGTGTAACTGCTAACATTTCCGGCTTCAAATGCATATGAACTTTATCCACTACTTTGGCAAATCCCTGACTATTTTTGTTCCTAAATGCTACAGCACCTCTCTAGTCAAATGCTTAGTCGGCCCTTCGTATTGGTGGGTTCCACATCTGCAGATTCAACCAACCACAGATCGAAAATATTCAGAAAAAAAAATTCCAGCAAGTTCCAAAAAGCAAAACTGGAATTTGCCACATGTGCTGGCAACTATTTACATATCATTTACATTGTATTTACAACTATTTACATAGCATTTACATTGTATTTACAGCTATTTACATAGCATTTACATTGTATTCGGTATTATAAATAATCCAGAGATGATTTAAAGACATACAAATGGCCAACAGGCACATGAAAAGATGCTCAACATCATTAATCATCAGAGAAATGCAAATCAAAACCACAATGAGGGGCTTCCCTGGTGGCGCAGTGGTTGGGCGTCCACCTGCCGAGGCAGGGGACGTGGGTTCGTGCCCCGGTCCGGGAGGGTCCCACATGCCACGGAGTGGCTGGGCCCGTGGGCCATGGCTGCTGGGCCTGCGCGTCCGGGGCCTGTGCTCCGCAGCGGGAGGGGCCGCAGCAGTGAGAGGCCCAAGTACCCCCCCCAAAATTACCAAAAAAACCCCACAATGAGATATCACCTCACACCTGTCAGAATGGCTATCATCAAAAAGACCACAAATATCAAATGCTGGTAAGGGTGTGGAGAAAAGGGAACCCTCTGGCACTGTTGGTGGGAATGTAAATTGGTGCAGCCACTATGGAAAACCGAATGGGGGTTCCTCAAAAAACTAAAAATAGAACTACCATATGATCCAGCAATTCCACTCCTGGGTATATATCTAAAGAAAATGAAAACACTAATTTGAAAAGATACATGCACCCCAATGTTCATAGCAGCATTATTTGCAATTGCCAAGATATGGATGCAACCTAAATGTCCATCAGCAGATGAATGGATAAGAGGATGTGCGATATATATATACACACAATGTATATATACACAATGGAATATTACTCAGCCATAAAAAAGAATGAAATTCTGCCATTTGCAACAACATGGATGGACTTGGAGGGCATTATGCTGAGTGAAATAAGTCAGACAGAGAAAGACCAATACTGTATGTTATCACTTATATATGGAATCTGAAAAATGCAACAAACTAGTGAATATGACAAAAAAGAAACAGACTCACAGGTAACAGAGAATACACTAGTGGTAAGTGGCGGGGAGAAAGAAGGGGGGAGGGGCAAGATAGGTGTGGGGATTTAAAAGTGGCAAAACTACTAGGTATAAAATAGATAAGCTACAAGGATCTACTGTACAGCACAGGGAATAGAGCCAATATTTTATAATAACTATAATGGAGTATAATCTTTAAAAATTGTGAATCACTGTGTCACAATCTGAAACTAATATAATATTGTAAATCAGCTACACCTCACTAAAAAATTAAAGTACACAGGACAATGTGTGTAGGTTATATGTAAATACTACATCACTTTATAGGAGGGACTTGAACATCTGTGGATTTTGGTATCCTTGGGGGTCCTGGGACCAATCCCCCTTGGACACCAAGGCACAGCTGTATAGAGTTATTTCCTAGTCCTGCAAACATTCCTGCAGCAGCTGCCCATGAGCAATGTGGACAGGTTCTTTGACAATTACCAGAGTCATCCTGTCACCCTGTTCATAAGTAATTTATTCTAGAGTTAGCTCTTTCC